ACCATGTCAATGTACCGATGCGGCCGTGGAGGGAAGGTCTTCCGACCCAACCATGTTCCAGAAACTCATGTAGATATTGATGCGATCAGGAAAGAAACGAAGAAGCATATCGCCGACAACATGCAAAGGATATAACTCGACTTCAAAAAAGCCGAAATGTATGCAACAGACATCGATGCTGAGATTGAAAGAGCAAGCGGAAAGGCATATATTGAAAACTGCTACAGACTGAAATTCCGTTATGAGGAAATGTGGATCTTAAAAGCATCTCGAGACTCCCAAAATGCCTCACCTCCCACCAGTCCTGACCCTGAAACGGAGACATCAGAGCCTGAGATAACCCCTAAAACTGATGTCTGCATAGAATCAGCAGAGGACTCAACAGTTTTTCAGACAACAACTCCAGTTGATATTCCAACAATCCCAGATGAGCCAACCCCAGTGGAAGCTACTGACAACATCGATAAGCCAATCTCTACTTCCATCCTAGAGACTGACTCGACCACTTCAAAATATAGCAAAAAGAAGATGAAAAGAAAGAAGTGCAGTGTCAACACGGCGACACAAAAATGCACAGAGCCAGAATAAGATAGCGAACCCCCTCGCCTGGAGAAAAAGATCGCCCCCACACCCACAGTGGAAGTTTCACCATCAGATTCTACTAGTACTGCAGCCCCGGCTATCATCGAGACTCCAGTAGAAAATAGCAAGCCGATGGAAATTCTACCCACCCGTAGAAATCTGAAAACCCTCATCCAAGGTCTTAGCTCAGACATCGAAATCCCCGATCTCGAGAAAGAACTTACAGATTTAGAGCAACGGCCAATCAAAATTGAACAGCTAAGGAAGAGGAGGGGCCAGAAACTTAAGCTCCCCCTCTACCTAGTCATCTTGCCAGATAGTGGAAATCACAGTGATATCTTCAATATCAAGACACTTTTAGATACTCCTGTTAAGATTGAGAGATTTCGTGGCGGGCGACACGAAATACAGTGCTACCGATGTCAACAATTTGGACACACACACAAAAGACTTGCACTGCTGAGCCTGCTTGTATGAAGTGTGCCAATGCACACTTCACGTACACATGTACAAAACCAACAAGCGAGCCTGCTAAGCGTGTAAACTGCCTAGGTGAGCACCCAGCTTGTTTTTCGGGCTGTGATGCAAGACCCAAAAGAAGACCCAGAGGAGGATCCATCCAGCCCAGCAAAGCCAACAGATTCCTGTTGTTATTCAAGGAAATGCAAGAGTTACTCAAGAATCCAGATCTCCAGAATCTACTTCAATCTCTGCTACCAGACAAGCCTTAGAGACAGAGATCTCCCTCAAGCCCAACCTGTTTTCCCAAGACGTCCACAGCCCCCCCCCCCCCNCCCCCCCCCCCTGTGGAAAATACTATTTTTTTTAAATGCCAATAGTCATCGTTGCCTTAGGGCTCATTACAGATGAAGAAGTAAGGTGCCCGCATTCGCGGGCAGGTACCTCAGAAAATCTCATATTCAAGTTCAATAAATTGAAATGAATGAACAGTTCACCGATTTCTTTTTGGCAAGAGACTGGGTCAAGGTACAGTAGAGAACCCATTATCCGGGATGCTCGGGACCATCGCTATCCCGGATATCTGAATTTCCCGGTTTTCAGGATCGACCAAAAAGTGTCGATAATCGATGTTTTATCGAACCTGAAGTACAAGGAAAAAGTGTAATGCATAAAGTAAGAGAAAAAAGAAAGGTACTCCTAACTTTAAAAAGAAAAAAAAAATGGTAGAAATATAACATTTAAAAGAATAAAAAAATTTGCAAGTTTAGACAAGAAAATCAAGTTTAAAAAATACAAAATTCTCATATTTATTTTTTAAAAATAATTACAATTCCTAAATTAAATAATATAAACAAAACCAATGATTAAATAACGCAATATATTTCATACCTAATTATACGGGGGGAAACGATAAAATAAAAGGAAAACTTATTAATCTAAATAAAAACACTTGAAAATTATCGAACCGAAACGATAGTTAAAAAAGGCACTAGCATAAATATTAAAACCCGGAACAAGGCAAGATCAACGGAATTCAAAAAAAAAAACCTAATGATAAAATTTATTGAATAAAAGGAATTAATTTATTGAGTGCGAAATTTATCGCGAAAAGAAAAAAAATCAAACGTAGTGGAATCAGAAAAACAAAACTGCAATCTGCTTCATAAAATAATCCTATGTTTAAATTAATAAACAATTCTCCTTTTATTTTATTTTTTTTTTTGATAAAAACAAGATTTTTAATTACAGCAGATGTGATTCCACACCAAGAAAAACTTGCAATTGATACCGCACTTCCAAAGAATGAGAATTTATTCAAAAGAAAAAGATTTTATTTTTATTAGTCGATGTCAAATAAATATATTTTTCTCTTTTCTTTTTCTGTTCACTGATATGCATGCAATGCATTTTCCCCACCCCCCTCGTAAATCAAGCAGAAAACGAAATCAGCATGCCACACCCTTGAGTTTGATTGACGGCCTAAAGGAAAAAATAAAACATTCCTCCCTTCCCTGCCTTCAAGGTCACGGAGGAAATGACGTTTCTATGGGTGAACGGGGAAAAATTTTTTCCCCTTCCTTACATTTTCCTCTACTCAACTTCAAGGATGAGTCCAATTTCCGCTTTTTTCGTTCTAGTTTAAAACGGCGGGAAAATCGAGCAAAATTTTTCCCGGTTTTCTGGTTTCCCGGTTACCTGGATACCGGATAAATGGTTCTCTACTGTATTGTAATTTTAGCATCTAAACATCAGCTTAAAACACTTTTAATAAATTTCGAAATAATGTAGATTTATATATGAACAAAAAAGAAAATTAAAGTAATAAGAATGAATGAAAAATAATAAAAAATTTGAAATCTAGAAACAGAGGACATAGAATCATTTGACTATTTAGGTTCAGTTGATGATAAATGAGGCTGCAGTGGTGAAGGCAGAGAATAATTAACGCAAGAACATGTTTTGAAGGACGGCATAAATTCTGGAGAGCACCAAATATTGAAATAAATGCAAAAATAGTTACCAGAGCAGTTCTACTTTATGGTTCAGAGACGTGAATGAGGGCAATAGAAAAACAAAAATTAGAAACTTTTCAAAACAAATTTTTGACCATACAAGATAAAACAAAAATATTTTGAAAAAAAGTAAAAGACAATAGAAAAGAAAATTCTTAAAAGAAGAAGGAACTGGCTGCGTCGCGTACTTAGAATGGGTCCGAAGTAGGTAAAGTACTGTACAGACTATAGCGTAACTTTTTTTATCTATATGTTATGACATATTTACACTTTTAAACAAAGAAATGTATTGAATATCATGTGTTATAAAAAAATACTAACAGTCTAAGTTATACACATTTACTTACATATTATGTACAGTTCATTTGATTTTGAAAATGAAGATACAAAACTTTTCTCTTTAAAAAATCAAATTTTTACCAGCATTTTGATAGTCCAAATGTGTTTGAAGTCCAGTGAAAAAAAAGTCTCTTTTGAATGTTGTAATAATTTAAAAAGTTGTTAGACATCAATTAAGTATTGTTTTGCACCACAGAGCAATATTCACTATTAATCATATAAATGCTAAAAACTCTGTATTTAATAAGGCTCATTTGAAAAATTTAAAGCTTTTCAGTGATCTCGTTAATTAATGCAAAGTAACAATTCACAGAAATTATCGCATTTTACACTAGCTTTTAGAAATTTTGATGCTCATGTTTGATTTTTCTCAAAGGTAATTTTTCGCTCAAGTGCCGTATTTCAAATTATTTTTTTTTTTTTTTTTTTTTAAAAAAAAGAAAATTCATAAATTGCTTAGTGCTAAAATAGTTTTTTCTTGCATACATTATACATTAACTTCTATTTAATTTAGCTACAATTTAAAAAATTATGACTAAAAAAAATTCAAAATTTTTTAAAAAAAAAGAAAAAAATTTGAAAGCATACATGCTAAGTTTATGAGACAAAATGCATACATTACATGTGATAAGAAAAAGCATCAAAATTACAAAATGATTGCAATTATTAATGCTACTGAGTGAAAAAATTGGTATTTAAAATCAGATTGGAAAGGAAGAAAAAATAAAATCAATTAGTGAGATTCAAGCGAGTTATGTTTTACAGAACAAATTTATTTTACACTTATAAGAATAAAGCTAATATATGATAAAATGATTGATAGTTATGTAAAGATAAGAATTTATAGGTTGTGATAAATATTCTAAAAGCATTTATTAGATCTTACTTTCACTGTAAATAATAAACATTGAAAACATCAAAAGTGATCATTGCAGAACAATAAATACAATGGAATAACAGATATGTATTTAAAAGTCGATTAATATAAAGCAAGTATTAATGTGATATATATAATACAAGTTTGGATTATAGTGTAAAAATGTTTAGCAAAAAAAATGTAATTAATAATTTTTTTATATATTTATTGTTTCCTTTTCAGGAACAGAAATTATGAATCAGAAATATGAATAGAAACTCAATTTCAAAAGGAAATACGAAATGAGTGTTAATGCAAGAAGTAACATTTATTTTCCTTAAACATGCACCATTCTTTATAATTCAAATCTTTTCCGTCATTAGGTCTGAACATAACTGATACACTTGCCATAAAAACATACTTAGATGTACTGTTTAACATTTTGTAAAATGCATAGGTCACAAATTCCAGACATGTGATCATCAAGAGCAGGGGTGAGCAACCTTTTTAATCAACAGGCAATTAAAATTTTGAAATTTTTTGGCGGGCCGCACATAAAGTAACACTTATTAATAATTTACAAAACTTTATTTATAACAAACATTAGAATAAAATACAGATCAATCAATACAGATGACTGGAATTCTATTGTTAATTGAATTTTTAAAAAATAATGAAGGTAAAAAATTTATAACACTAACTTCTTTTTTGCTTCATGTTACCTTATATTGGAAACTTTTTCCCTTTATATTGATTTCTAGCTACTAGATAAAAAATTTAAAAAAAAGACATTTAAGTGCTCTTACTTCACACATCTTGAAGGCACAAGTAGGATATCTTTCACTTGATATGGCAACAACAGAATTTCCAAAGATAATGGCTGGGGTGATCAAAAATAAAAAAGAAAGTAATGGCTCTTTGTCTGGACACTGAATTCCAATAATGCCCAAAGGATGATTCTCTTGAAACACTTTACCATATAATTTTGTTTCCTGTTGATAAATAAAATAAGTTTTCAATAAATAGTCAAGTTTTCAATAAAATGGCTTAGTAGAAATGGGCCGAATGAATGAAAGTTGAAGAGCTTAGCAATATTCTGGAGGGAAAAAAAAAAGACATAGGGCTTACAAAATTAGATGTTCAGCTGTAAATAATAAACAGTAACTTGGATTTTTTTTCTCCAAGTTATTCAATAAGATAGGTTTTAGTTGGAAAATGTGTCAGTAATTTTCTGCTGTTATAGTTTCTAAATGTGATTTTCCCACAAATGCCACTTAGAACCCATTTCTATTATTTTAGGAATTTTTAAATGTAATAATATAAATAAACAAATGCTTCTGTTACTTGTTCGGAGAAACAAAAGAATTTTCTTTCGAATAAAAGAAGTTTCTTTTTTTTATTTAAAATTTTTTAGGAAACAGAGGTCGTTTAATGAATTCGAGACATATGCATTAAGCTTGGTAAAGAATCTAAGTTGAAATAGATTCTTATACATATTAGAATATTTATAAAAGCTTATGGTCAAGTTTTAACTCCGAAACTTTTACGTGCATTTTCAGAGATATTTGCTGTCGATGGACTATTTATGTGAAATGTCAGAAAATTTCAGAGGGTGATCTAACACAATTAATACCATTTCTCTCAGAAAAAGAAAGAGGCACAGTCTTTCAAAATTAGAGGTGAGCAATCTGTTTTAAACCTTCTACTGCTAACTTTAAGGTAAACTATTTGCTCAGAGCCATTGAATTTCCAGGCATTTGAGTTCATTGCAGCTCACATGAAAAGTTACTGAAAAGTTGAATTCAGTTTATCGAGCATTTTGAATAACTCCAAAATGAATGTTCAAATTCATGCATTTCAAAGTTTAAACACCTCGCATCCCTCTGTGCCACAACCTGTATCTTTTTTTTGTCCATAATCAAAAGTTAAAACTTGCTGAGCCATCAGACTGTTTAAAGGACTTACCTATAGAAATTCTAATAAGGGCTGATTTTTATTGGACAATAGTATACACTCAATCCCCTATTCGACTTTCTGCAACGTGTGCTAATACCTACTATGTTTGGATGGACCTCTTGGGCGACCTTTCATTTGCTATCATAGCACTTTCTTCCATCTCTTCAGTTCAAAACATTAGTATAGGAATTTCAGTACCAGTTCTCAACAAACACGTCAGGGAATTTGGAAACAATAGGAAAAGAAGTTAATGAGGAAAAAGTCTGGTCTAAAGGTAACCTTGAAATACTGAAAGATTTTGGAAATTTTTACGAGGAAGAGCTTCGTCCTTGCCAAATGTGGAAAAGAGCTCTTCTTCTCAAACTAATACCTGGGAGAAATGAAGTTGTGAGAACTGTTCATTTGCAGTGTGTCACATCCTCTGCAAAGGGTCATTCCCTTGCAGATAGACCACGGATGGAGAGGATGCTCATTTCCAAGAATAGTAGGTTTGCACTGACTTTTCTTTACTTTTAAAAGAACCAAAAAATACTTTCTTTTTTTTTCTGTCATACTTTTTGTTTAATAAATACTTGTGTTCTGTCTTCTATATTACAGTTTCTATATTTTTGTCTAATAGCAGAGTTTAACCTTAATATATTCCTGGGTAAAATTGGGCTGTCAATTATTTTATGTTCTGTTGAAATTTTTAAGAGCATCAGAATTTAGTTATCTCGTTACTTCGACTACATGTTGAAGGGACAGTCTATACAGTTAAATTGTTCCTCAAACTGTAAGAAATTCAAGTGTGTTATATTTTTTACAAAGATTATGATTTATACTTGAAAGTTAAATCTACAAAATAACGCAAGCAAACATTTTTAAATTATACTCCGTCAATATAAGTAACTGTAAAATTTTGCAATCAACAATTAGCTTGTTCCTCTATTTATAAAAAAAAGTATCCAGCTTTTATAAAATACATATGGCTGTATATTTAAATGAAGAAAAAAGTTATTTAAAAATAAACAGCTGGTAGCGTGAGGCTGATAACTTGAAGACACAAACTCTTAATTAACTACACAACAGATCAGGAACACAAAGGAAATTGTAAAAAATTATTTAAAAAAAAAACATTTGTTAGCCAAAAATCTAAAATAATCTCTTTGGCAACAAATAAATTTAAAATTATAAAATGGCTACTAAACACACAAACTAAAAATTTCAGTATCTTTTATGCTAAAGTTGAGCACTACTGATAATAGCTCATTACAGTTAAAAATAATTTCATCATAATAAAAAACAAGGAACCACAGGGTCGTCACCTAATGTTAAACCAAAGAAACACTTTGTCTTTTTTTAGAAAAGTGTTACAATTTTCTTTCAAATCTCACAAAAATGGACATTTCATGGACAACGTATAAAATAAAAATGTGTTTTACTTCATTAGATTTTTATTTCGCAATCAGATAAAAGAGTGCATTTTTCATCAAGATATTTTTAGTATTGCATTTAAAGATACTTGTGTTACACAATAATTGTAAAAAAATACAAAGACAGAGTTGTCTATACTTTTAACGTTGTAAGCTGAAAACTTTAGTCAATAATTATTCAAGTGGCTAGTCAAATCAAAGCAAATAAGAACTATGCGTTATGAACTGATCTAAAAGAATTTTTTAAACTTTGTATTCCTTACATTTTTATAAACCAAATAGATCAAATATAACAAAAAGATTAGATGAGATTATAAGCTGAAAATTTATTAAGATCTAGAAATCAATAAACAAAAGCAAATTTGGAATAAATTACGTAAAAAATAAAATTGATAAGAATACTCTTTCTGAAAACAAGGCAAAAACTTGAAGAAAAAAAAAATTGTAATTACCACAATTCGACCTTCAAATTGAGCAATGTGATTTGCCCAATAAAGTAATACAGTAACAGCTTGCTCAACTTCTAAGAAACAAAATTCTTTGGTTTTGCCAGTAATTGTACACAATTCTGATATAAACTCTTCTTTCTTTTTATTTAGAATTTCTGAAGCTTTACGAAGAACAGCAGCACGCTTCATTTTATATGTACACTCCCACCTATAAAAAAAGTAATGTTACATTGCTTACTTCTAATTAATGCAAGTATATCATTTACTTTGCATGTAATTAAAATATTATTTTTAACTTAAGTTAAATAATAAAAATCTGTGTTTTAAAAATTTTAATCTAAAGTATAAATAAATATGTTTTCCTAGTATATGTGGTTTATGATGCATTTATCACTCTTTTGGTTAATACTTAGAAGTATAATTATCAGTAGTTTTCTTTGATGTCTTTACAGTGGAAAGTAATCTAATAAAAGGAATTGGATAAATGTAGAGATTTATGATATATTTAAACAACATTAGATAACCATGGCAAGAAATTTAAATGGTCTTAAACAGGGATAACAACTGAAAAAAAGAGAGAGAACAAAGGAAAAGATAACTGTGGTATCTAGAGATTGTCAGGTCTAATGATAAAGAAAATTTTAACTTAAATTCAGATTTGCATAACTTTTTGACATAAATTCGTGTTGCTTTTTATAAATATAATCATTACTAAGTTATAGATTTTGCATATTGTGTGATACTGAACTTAAAAAAATTTTAACTTGTTTTTTTATAGCTTCTGATCTTTGGTTTGAATATTTTCTTTCTTCCCGTTCTGTTCCCGCAAACAAATTAAATCATAAAATACCTTCATTTGACATTTTTTATGCTTGTCATATTGTCTTCCTATCTTGCGTTAACAAAAATGAGATATATTTAATTAAGCATTTAAAATTTGTGTTTTGGTAATGAAATATTCGCTTCTTTTAGAAGCTTATTAAAACATAAGAAGATTAATTTAGACAAGAGATATAAGATAAATATTTTTAAAAACAAGTAAAATTTACTTTTAGGATAATTTAAGTTGATAAGTACAATAATCTATTGATATTACACAAGTACAATAATCTATTGATATTACACTGCTCACACAAGATATGAAGCCAAAATCTTAACAATTTTAATCCTTACAAGTTCACAGTTTTATCTTCCTTATAATTGAGGCTAGTAAAAATTATTGTGTGCTCAAAACTTCCAAACGTATAGAAATGCATTGTAAATTTTTTTTAAATTTGAATTAATTACTGCTGAGCTTAGTTTAAAATATTAATTAAAGATGAAAATAAAAAAAAAAGAGTTTGAAAACTTATTATTGCTAACTTTGGTTGAGAAGAAATTGCACTGGAAACTGCCTTATCAATGTCAGATTTATTTGCAGAAGCAACATAAGCATATGGTTCATTATTCACATCAAAAGCCTGTAGAAATGTTTCGTCATTAGAATTCACAAATGATCCTCCAATGAAAAGCTTGCAATACTTTTGAGTTCTGAAAAAAAAAAAAAGTCAAAATCTTTCATTTTGTAATCTCTGTATATAATTTAAGAATGTAGCTTAGTCATAGACTATTATAATTTTTAATATAATATCTCCACAATTGTAGCACTGTGTGCGAAATAAAAAACAAAACACCTTATTAACTTCTGTTCTAATGGTCAAATTTCCACATACCAACATGATATTTTAACAATTAGAGGGGTTGATCTTAAGTAAGTTAATTAATTTGCGCAGTGAATATTTTAAGTTAAAAAATTAAATTGGACTCTATAAAACTTTCTCTTCAGATAAAAACGAGTTGTTGTTTCCATTGCCACTTGCCATACCAGCAAGCATGCTTGGGAAACCAAGAGAATTTAACACAGAGGGTGCTTCTTGTTTTTCAGTGGCGCCATCTATGGCAAAGAACATGATTTAAGCCACTCACGTCACAGTCTGTTTTACAAAGCTGACCTATTCATACATCCACAGATTTTAATTTTGACCTGAACCAGAGAACGATCAATCTCTAATTCAGTACGTCCAGAGGTATTGATTTATTATGAGAAATCCAACGTCCTACCAACAGGGCTTTCCTGGTCCAGATAAAAATGTAGTTTCTATGAATAAACACACCTTTTTTGATGGATTTAGATTCTTGACCCCCAAAATATGGGCCTAATTATTTAGTTAGAAGAGTGGTCCAAAGTCTGAAGAGTCGTTAAAGTTAAAGAATCAAATCTTTGTAAAAATAAAAATTAGTTTCCGAGTCATGTTTTTAGTATAAAAAGTCATATTTTTAAACTTTGAATTTATGAAAACTATTTGCTACAATATGTTGAAAATCAAGTTCTGTACTTAATATTCTGGCTAAAAATGTATAATCCGTACAATACCATTATTATCAAATTCAATAATAAAAAAAAGAATAAATATTTATTAATTAATTTGTGCATTGTATAGTAGGAAAAATGGTTATAATAGCAGGACTTCATAACTGTTTGCAAAAATGTTTTCATTCACTGAAATAATTTATGAGATTTGCAAAACATAATATCAGAAGTCTTTGAGGTGTTCTATTTTTTAGTTTGCTCACTGTAGATTATTCACAAATGTGTAATTATAAAATTAATAGTATTTCTCTCTCTTTTTTTTAACAACATAAGAAATAGAGTGTTTTGTATCTCAAAATTAGTCAATTACCAAAGGAAAAGTTTTGGATCAAATTATAATAAACAATTGAAATATGAATTTGTTACTCTTCATTTCACAGACATCAAACAGTTACAGTTTTCATTTATTTTGTGTTGTGAAATTTGCTTTAGTCTATTTTTTGAAATAATCTGCCTTATGTTGTTAGCTATGGTAGAAAATAGTTTTGGTACTATGAAAATCACCAGAGTGGAAACACAGAATTTGTGTTTCTTCATTTTTTTAAAAAAATTAATTAAAAAAGACATTAAGCTCTTATAATTATTAAATGAAAGCTCATAAATACTAAATGAAAATGTAACATTTATATAGCTTAATGTCTTATTTAATTAATTAAAAAAATGAATAAACACAAATTCTGTGTTTCCACTCTGGTGATTTTCATAGTACCAAAACTATCTTCTACCATAGCTAACAACATAATTTGTACTTTCATATGTTTCATCGAGTCTAAAAGCAAATTTTATAACAATAAAATGAAAATTATTAAAATTCCCAAAGTTAAAAACAAGTACAAAATTATGATAAGTATTTAAATGCTTTAAAAAGTGTAAGGTTAAGTGAATAAATGTGACATTGTATTATTGTATGTAATGTGACATTGAATTATTGAAAATTAATAGCGTCATTATTATATATGAAAATTTCCTCTATGAGTTATGACAATTGAAGTTCAGTGAGGTATTCTCAAGATTTGTGCTACCTTCATTACACTCACAATTTACAATATTCTTTTCTTTATACTGTTATACTGTCGAAATCGCTCATAACGTAGCCTGATTTAACCAGAACCCCGATTAAATAAAGAAATCGAAAATACCCGAGCAGTATAATTTAAAGTTTATTGAAGTGCAGCTCACTTGCCACAAAATACTTGGGAGGTACAATGTTAAGTCTATAGAAGTGCAGCTCACTTAGTAACAATAAGACAGTTCAAAGCAAATTAACTGACCTCTTTTGTACTTTACAGAAGAAAAAAGAAATTTGAATGAAGATATTTATTATATGAAAGATATTAAGAATGATATTTATTAATTAGAAGTAAGAACTTCCACAATTTATTCACAAATGTGTCTTTTATAGTATTTAGTAGCAATGAACAAATATTTTGGCTTCTTCTCACTCGTTACAAGCGAGTTCAACTGAACAGTGTGCAAAATAAAAAAACAAACCTCCCTAAATAACTTTCTAATGATCGGATATTCACTTTCTAGGACACAGTCTTATGGTTTGAGAGGGTGACTTCAAATATGCCAACTAATTTGTGCAGACGATATTTTAAGTTAAGAAATCTTACATAAAAACGCACTTTTTCTAAACAAACGAAACTTTTTTCGACGGATTCGAATTTAAATATAATCAATTGTAAAATCCATTTATCCAAAGACAACTCCATGCAAAATATGACTTTCAATAAATGTTTATTATTTTATTTAGTAACAGTCGAAAAATGTTTGAATCGTAAGCTATAAAATTTTTTACATCATTTTAAAGAATGCAGTTTTACATGGCAAAATACAAAATTTGAGCAAAATCAGTCAAATAGTTCCTGAGAAATCGAATTTTAAAAATGTAACTTTTTCAAAATTTAATTTATTTGGAACTATTGAACCGCTTTCACACAAATTTTGTATTCTGCCATTTAAAATTGCAATCTTTAAAATGATGCAAAAAATCTTTACAATTCAAAACTTTTTCGACTGTTATTTAACCAGAATAACAAAAAACAATAAATATTTCTTAAAATTTATTTTTTGTATGGAATTATCTTTGGAAAAACTAATTTTATAATTTTGTGCAAAAATTTTTCAATTCACTTAAAAAGTTCTCGGGGTATGACGAATACGGAAAAAGTAAAATTAACATTAAGTAGTCCAAAATTTAAATCACTCGCCTGGTGTTTGGCCAGGAGTTCATATTTCACAGATTGCAGCAACCCCCTATATTTGGGAGGTCAGAAATCTGAATCCATTGGAAAAAAAAGAGAAAGTATGTTTTTGTGTTTGATTTCTTAAATTAAAATATTGTCTGCACTAATTAATTAGCATATTCGAGGTCATTCTCTTGAACCACTTAGATTGAGTTTTAAAACATGAAAATCCAATGATTAGATCAAAAGTTATTTAGGGTGACCCGTTTTATTTATTTTTGGGGCACTGTACATCAATAAATATAACCTAATTATTAAGAAAATTAAAATATAGTTTAATGATTTCACATATTTGTGAGAAAGTATTTTAATTAAGATGAGTAATCAATCTTAACAAATAAAATTTCAAAACTATTTATTCAGAGTACTAAAAACAACTATGATAAGTTTTAAGTCCACGTTTAAGTATCATAAAATGGATGTAAAAATTGAAGATGGTAAAAAGTAAGTCCACAAGCAATAAATTCAGTAATTTGCTAAATTTTTGAAAAGTAAAGGAAAAAATTAATAGATAAATAAACCACTAACTTTTTCCCGTCATTATTTTTTAATGGAATAATACTTGAACTTGGAGCTTCAGAGCCATAAGATTGAATTTTATTAGAATCAATATTTTTGGAGCCATTTTCATCTTTCTCTAAACACAAGAGATGACTGAAAACTCCCTGGAACATTTATTTTATTATTAATAAAAACAGCATGCAACTAATTAAATTTAAAAAGCATGGAAATGAATTTTGTTCTAAAAATTTTATTAAAATAAAGATTAGTGTTTACTGTTAAGAATAGAGCATATACCATTAATCAAAAAACACTTTGTGTTACTTTATTTGAAGAAAAAAAAAGCTTTTTTTTTGCAATGGCTATATTTGTTCTTAAAGTATTAAATTAAAATAAAAATTTTTGCTATGTGACAGCAACAAAAAATTTCATGAAAAATAACCCTCATTAAAGGATCATAAATCAAGTAAGACTCTTGCCCTATATTTTTAAAATAAAGTTTCATCACGAAACAAATTTCAAAATATATAGTATTTTAAAATAAACAAGAAAAAATATATAAAAATAGTTCAGTATTTTACAAACTTAAAAGCAATAACTTATTTACATTACAGAAACAAAAAAGATCACTACGACAGGTATTTAAAGAATTATGCACAACTTTCTAAGGGGAATAACAACAAAATTTTAAAGATACTTTAAAGTATGCTGCTCATGCAATGCATGAGCAGCTTACTTACAATATTTTCGCATATGTATACATATTTCCGATATAAAAAAACAAATAAAGTTTTGCACACTTAGTCTTTTTTAATCAAATTAAATTATAGCAAGTTTCTAAATTTCCCCGTTCAAAAATAAATTTTATAATGTTTCTAATGCATATGAGATACTTACACCAATTATTGTCAAATTAAATTTGTTAACTATGTTTGTGTTGAACATGTTCTGGTGAAATAAATCGTTCTGATGTGTGCAAAAAAAATTTATTTACAGTTTAATGAAATTAACACATAAAAAGTTATAAAATTTTCTGATGCTAATTATGCAGCTTTTTTCTTTTTGTTGTTTAAATTAACTTTTGATTGGAAGGAAATAATTTTTCAAAGGTCCAAATAGGCCACCCAGAATGCACACTGTGCACCCCTACGCAAAAGAGTTACAAGCGATCAAAAAATGAAAACTATTTTTCAGTCAAATACTCATATTCAAATGCATGAAGAAATATATAAAATTTTTGAAAAACACTTAAAAAAATGCTTACTTCTTTGCCTCCAATATTTGAATTTCCGCTTAAATAAAGAGAACCATTTGAAATGGAGGGTGAATATATATTTTGACAATTAACCCAAACAGTCCTCGATTTCAATTTACTAGCTGCTTCTAGGGATAGGAACATTTCCTCACACCAGATGCTAACATTTGAATGTTTCTTATTTTGATTGAACATAGCAATGGATTCTTTAACAGTGCGAAACTGTTCAATATACACTCCTGGGCCACATCGTACATTTTGGTCCTAAAATGAAATACTGATAAATAATTTTGGAATAAGAGTTAATGAGAAAAATTTTGCAGCACAAATAAAAGGCTCTGTTCATCACAGATGAGATTTAAAAAAAATTGAATTTTCTTCCAATCTAGGACACTACATTTAAATTTAAACTAATATGTAATGTTTATATTTTCCCCTACTTCTAGAAGTCATTTAAAGTGATTAATTAGATAATAGCTTTAGATATTGAATGTTTATGGCATAAGAAAAGTGAGTCAAAAGATGTTTGATGTTAATTTAATAATTTCCAAGTTACAATTTTTCAATAGCATTTTGTACCTTAATAATAATTATGTTTACAAAATTAATATATGCATAAAAAATTGTGCCTGGAAACTTTATCTTTCATTTAAAAAAATTTTATATTTTCTAAAATTTTTGCTAAATAAATAAATTATACAAATTTGTTTTTTCCCCAACTTTTTAACAATGTTAAACTTTACGAAAAAATTTATTATTAGTTATTATACATGAAATTTTTTTGGGCAAAAGTCTGATACATTTTTAATACGTTAAAAAAAAGAGCAATAAAAAGCAAGACCTTGTTCCATACATTTAAAGATTTTTTTTCTTCTTCAAGAAATATTTAGGAATTTAACTACATTTTTGGCAGTAAAAAAATATTATATTTTTTTTTACACAATATAATATTAAATTTATTGACATCAATAAATGCAAGACTTAAACAAGAAACACAATTTCAATAAAGGTTAATGAAACTAAAATACAGATTACGCATGAATTACAAAATATTTTACCAAAAACACAACGGGGGATGTTTTTTGCAACTAAGTAACATTCAATAAATGACATTCAAAGTACAAAAATTAAAATTACAAAAGTTATACTACTATCAGTCAAGGCAAACTGCAGAAAAAGTCTAAAATAATAGAAAATTATGCGAGTAAGTACTGCATGTTGAAACAGCATTATTTTACATAAACGCTTAAATTTTTTAAACCTGAATTTATTAACATACCTTCGTCTTCAAAACATATACATCAAGGAAAATGTATTTGGGGGTTATTAACACATGAAGCAATGAATAAAAAGGCTACGAAACTTGGAGCATAAGATTTTTACATTATTATGGTTTATTAAAAAAAAATGCTACTTCATTTGATATACAATTCTGCTAATAGTGCCAGATAGTGGTGAATAAAAGTTCAAAATTTTAAAATCCGGAATCTATTCGTATGAAAATTAGTGCAACTGTTTCTTGCTGTTATTATTGATTTAGTTATTATTGATGAATATTATTATTGATTTAGTATTAAATAAATAAATAATAAAATAAAGCAACTCTGAGAAGAATCTGTTTAAGAATCAAGATGAGGAGATTAGTACATACAAACTTTTTTTGGCTGAGCTAGATAAGTCTTTAAACTAAATACAGCAGAATTTTATTCATTTGAATCTCTTTGAGGGATTGTGAATAATGGCCTATTTCAGAATGTGAGGAAATTCATAGGTTAAAGTGATAGAAATTATTACCAAACTCTTGGGCTACATAAAATATAGAACAAATGTAAATAGTTATTATTTCCATGTCATTAAAGTTATTACTTTTGCAAGAAACAATCATTTTTTCAATACCTATATACAAGTCATGGTGGCTCAGGGGATATAGCATTCTCTTTCTAATGAGGTGAACCAGGTTCGAATTCCAGCGATGGCTGGTTGATACGAAATCTGCACCTGGCTCGCACTGACACAAAATATCAGATCATGAGTTAAGAGTCCTCTTGCCACCAGACTACCGTGGGAAGTTTTTGTGGTTTTCCTTTTCAGTGCAACGCTCCAGTGTTCCGTTGTCTTCTGTATTTGGTTCAAAATTACAAGGCTACAGAGTTGAACATTAGTAGTCATAAACCCAAAATTGGGTCAGTTGTTCTATGACGGTTACAAAATAAAATTACCTATACCCATATCATTATCTAAAAAGAACCTGGTGGCACAGACTGACAGTTTTATTGTAAATAAATTAATAAATAAAACACAATTTTATTTTTCAATCGTCAAAAGGTTAAGTAAAGATGTAAATACCTTAAGACCAGAATTGAAATTCATTATGGCAGCTGGGACATATTGGTCTCCTTCTTCAGTTATATTACATTTACTAACACTCTGAAATTTAAGAAGTTCAACTATTTTTATATAAAAAATATTGATTTTATTTTTTACTCGTAAGATTTGAAAATGTACTTACAAATAATTCATCTGCAGTATACCCCAACAGTAAATTTTGCACCTGTGCAACCGTTGCTTCACTGCTCATAATGTAAAATGGTGGTCTACAGTCTATATGGTCACCAAATGAGCCACATACTTTCAGTGTTAATAGTTTAACAAATTTTTTCTGAATTGATTCTTGAAGATAGATTTTACAAATGGGCCATGGTTCCTGGAATCAATATTTTGAGAATTAGTACAACTCTTATAACAACAGATTTTAAGTTTCAAAATCAACATTATGATACATTGAGATTGTTTTTTAAGAATTCTTTTAGGTATTTGTAAAAAATAAATATTTTAATCTCACTTACAAAATTTAACTCACTCAAAAATCTTTCAAGTATAATTTTTTTTCCTATACACTGTGACCATGGTAATGTAAAGCCTGATTATAAGTTATCTGACTCTGTTATTTCCAGATATAATAGTTTAATTAGACTAACTGCTTGGCAGTCAAACAAACTGTAGTCGAGCTGAATTTATTTAGAAATATAACTGGTGGCAAAAGGTCACACTAGACACATCACAAATTGGGATCCAAAAGCTACAGAAATAGATATGGGGTTCACCCAGCTGCTTGAAAAAATTCTATTATTATTTTGCAGATGAACGCACAATTTATTTATATCTTAAGTAAATTTGAATCAGTTCCAGATGTAAATTAAATTTTTTCAGAGTTAGAGTCAGCAACTTAGATGCAAGTATATGTCTATGGAAATCTGTATTTATTTGCATATATTTTGAAAATTGTATAAAAATATACAATTTTATCATATTTTATGCTTAAATTATCACAAATTAACAATACTAAGTATTGAAAATTGAAATCTAATACTAAATCACAAGAACTTTAATCAGACCATTGTAGGCGTTTCGATTTCGAAAATTTGATTGGTAGCAAACTTAGCAATGGATAAAAATCATGATATTGACATAGCAGAATTTTTTACATTAATGCCCAAATTAAAAAATTTTCATTTATATATTTTGTACATTGCATTAACTATTTTGATTTTAGTTGGAAAAGAATTATTAAGACTTATTATTATGAAGACTTTTTTAAAGAAAATAAAATAAAAACTCTTTAAAGCCACTTTTTGTTTTATTAGAAAATTCTAACAGAATTGGAGTAGCTCACAAAAAATTATCAAAAAGAGCAAAGTGTCATGATGTTATTGTCATCTAAAATTATGTGACTACAATAAAAAAAAGTACTCCTACAATAGTATTTATAAATATATTTGTTGAATATTAATTAAGTAACAAATAATGAAATCATGTCAACACTTTTTTCTTCCAGACATTGTGAAAAATCATTTTTGAATCAGACTTAAAAATACAAATAGTTACACCATTAATTGAATGTTTGATAATTACTGTTATTGATAAAAAGTTAAAATGAAATTAATGCATAAAATAATTATTATGTAAAAAAATTCCTGAGAACTTAGATGCAATTTCAGAACTGAGCATGAAAATTATAGGTAATATATAGCACTATAAAGAAAATAGACTTTCATAATTTAAATGGAAGTTCCATTTTTTTTATTTTAAACAGTGTTATTATTAAAAAAAAATTCTTAACATAGTTTATGGAATTAAAAAATTCCTGTGAGCTTACATTGCATTTTTAGAAATATGGAGCAGTAGGTAGAAATGGTTTAAAAAAAAAAAAGGAAAACAATTTATGCTTTTATCTCTCACTTTGAAAGCATAAAAACAGTACATTTGATTATAACAGTTAAAACTCATAATATTGAACACTAACTTGATTTAAAATAGTATATTTGTAAAATCAATTAAACATACAAAAGTACCTTCACATCGAAAATTTGTATAATTTCTAGTATATTTGATATGGCTGCATCAAGATCGGCACTTTCGTATATAATTACAGATGGCCATTGGTTGGGAATGATTTCACAAGGAATATTTTTACTTATGGATCCAGAGAGAAACGTTTTGTGTTTTAAAATAATTTTATCTACATTGGGAAAACTTGACAATGATGAAACTTTGCAAGAAATCACATTAAAAGCTCCTGCAGGCAATCTGTTAGAGAAAAAAAATAAAAACTAAAAACTTATTATATGAAGTTTATAAACAAAATAATAACTGTAACTTTCTAATTAATAATTTTAAAATTTACAGCAATTTTACTATCTAAGAATTATATCCAATGATTACATGTAAAGCTATTAATGCAGCATTCATAAGCCCTAATTTACTCCATATTATTTGCAATTGAGATGGATTATAGCCAGATTTTTCAGCAAAAAATAAGCACCTTTTAAGTACTTTTTAAGCACTCAAAATTTTTTNCTATAAAAACAGAAAGATACAATATCAATTATAACAATCGAGAGTACGAGTTTCCCCACCCCTGTACGCACGGACGTCACTCGATATCGTCATATGACGTCATCGCATTCAACTCAGCACGAAGATTCCTACGAATCCCAGTGTAAGGGGGTGGGTGAAGTAGAAGTGTTAAAGAGGGGTAACGTTGAAGAGGAGGGAAAAATAAAGCACGTGCAACTACGCCTCAGGCAGATGGTAGTTCGATAAGAGGGGATGGAATTCACCCTGAAAGAAAAACAAAACTTCCGCAATTGCGGAAAAATTAGGTAATTTTGAGTTTGGCCGTCGATTGCAGTAAAATTCGGGAGTTTTTTTAATCAATTCCGGAGGGCGGGAGAATAACTCAAAATTCGGGAGACTCCCGCAAAATGCGGGAGAGTTGGCACGTCTGAGGATCTGTGCAGTAATAAAATTTTTTTTTTTTTCTATCATTTAAAGTTCTTAATTTGTAAACATAAAATCAATAAAATTAAAAAAAAAAAAATTTCAAAAACTTTACATAATCATGATAAAATAACTAGTTTCTGATAAATACTGCAGAGATAATTGTGAAAATCATGCATTTTTTGCAATTTAGAACGACAATCGACATGGCAAAGAAAAATATCTCTTTAAAAGATAGAAAATTAAGCTCTTTTTACAAATCTCGAATAAAAAAAAGCACCTTTAAGGGCTTTTAAAAAAACATAAACCAAAAATAAGCACTTTTAAAAAACGCTACGCACCCTATATCCAGAATTCAAAGTGAATAAAAATAGGCTGATGGATAAAAATTACTTAAAAATAATCACATAAAAGGAAATTTCAAATCTTAATGTAAACTCTTGAGACTGAAAAAAGAGGAAGGGTACACCAATATATAAGGTTGACGCCATAAATTATTTTAGAATGACTGCCATTAAATAGAAATAATTAAATAATCGATATTAATTATTTATATTGACATTTATTTAAACACAACAAAATTATATTTATTGTAAAAAAGAATAGATGAAGAAATTTGATATGTATATACAAATTTCTGTTTTATATTTATCCAGACAGAAAAAAAACCGTGATAAAAGTTTGTTGCACGTGGTTGCGACTTACTATATCTTCATAATACATGTTTAAATCATTTAGGATTTTTACACCAATTTCATCATTTTCGGATCGATAAAAATTTCTCAGTTCCTCAATAATTTTTACCGTCACACCAAAGTTTTCCCTTTTAGTTCTTTTTTGGAAAGTATCAATTGAGTATTGGTTTCTTCATAATCACTCTTGACAACATTATTTGCTATTATTTCAACAAATTCTTCCATATTGCTCTTTAGAGATTCTATATACTGGTCCATGTTTACAAAACACTCAACATGGATCAGACCTTCTCCAGCACATTACGTAATTCAGTTAAAAAGCTTGATTTTTTATGGGATATTATTTTAATCAATATACTTCAAACAATTAATTTTATGAAATATGGCAAAAAAATTATGCCCTACCCTGCAGAATCACAGTTGTGCTAATAAAAAAGCACTTAAATTTTCTCTGTAGTCAATATTTAAATTATTCTTTTGACAATCAATGTTCTTGTCAATATTTACAAAATCATCACTGTCGCATAACGCTTCCTCTACCACATTACATAATTCATTAACAAAGCTTGATTTCTTATGGGACATAATTTTAAATAATATATTTAAAACAGTTAAATAACTCTATGACAAAATATGTGCTAATTTAAATTAAGATTTGCCTTACCCTGCAGAATCACATAGTTGAGCTAATAAAAAAGCACTTAAATTTTCTTTGCAGTCCACTAAACATATCGCTGCATTCCCCGAAGCAAGGACAGCACTTAATACCCAAAGACTTGACACCAAAGTATCATTATCGCATATAATACAAACAACACCTGGAAACAAAATCAAGCAGATTATTTAAACAGTTATGATTGATGGATTAACTGTAGAATTTAATGGCACAAGAGCTGAAAGCATACATAAAGCTTTGAATGAACCCAAAATTACCGTAATAAACCAAACAAAATAAAGAGAAAATATATAACCTATATTTGCACCTTTGGGGGGGGGTGGAAAATAGAGGATAAAGGGAGATTATTATGACGAGAGATGTTGCTAGACTTTGAGGGTTGTGATGCTATTATAGGCATTACATATTTCCTAGCTTTTAAAATTCATTTAATTTCCTAAATTTAATTCATTAATCATTCTTAACCCTGCTATAATTAAACTAATAAATTATAAAATTTTTATCCCATTTTATAAAAAGAGAATACAAACCATTTCTTTTCTTAACAATCAATCTAACAAACTCTTTTATTCAATACAAGTGTATAACTCATTAATTTACTGCTGCAACTAAATCCAATATCAAAAAAAAATTTTAGTTCTATTTTTTTAAGCTATATTATTTCTCTAACCACAAAAATGTTTTGGATATAAGATTCTAATGACCTTTTTGGTGATTTAGTAGTTTATAATTTACTATTGATAATGCAGTGTTGTTCTTTTTGTGTGGCTATATTATGCATCGATAACTTGCCAAATTTTGGATCTCTTCCCATTAGCAAATATTCATTCAATCTGAAATTCTTGGCATTAGGACTGAGGGGGGGGGGATTTGTATGTCCAATTTAAAATGACGATTCCATTATAATAAACTACAATATAACACTACTAATCTGAAATTCAGTAATATGAAATTTGAATCCTATGAAATTTTCCAACTCCTTAAAAACAAAAAGGTGCTTAATAGAAATATTTCTAAAAAGGAATAAAAAAAAATTAAAAAAAAACTATGGAAATCTAAACAATTAGCAGGCAAAATACAGGGTTTAGTTTAAATGTGTGATTCAATAACTCAAATATAATCTCTGAAAGAACAACAGCTGTTGGAATGGCAGAATTCTAAAACCCTATATACAGATATCACAATATAGCAAAATTTTAAATCTTTATTATGGACCTAGCATAATCAGAATTCCTAATAATTCAAGTTTTATGATATTTATATAACAGTTTCATTAGCTTAATTTCAATAGGATCTACTAAATAAGTAAAATAAAAAATTTGAAAAATTACTTTTATGAAATTTTTTTTTTATATGTATTTATAGTTAAATATCCATACAAACTAAAAAAAAAAGTAATTTTTTTATAGTCCAAAAAATTTAACTATTAATATTAAAATCATTATCAATTAAAAAAAAGCAAATAAAATTTTAAATACAATATAAAGGAATATTTTAAATTATGCATATTACTTCTTTACATTTACTAACAATTTAAATATCCAAAAATCTAAACCAAATTCAGGAAATTATTCAACATCCTAACAATGACTTACAATTTAAAAAATTAGCTCAAGAAAAAAAAGGAGAAAAATTTATAAAGATTGCTGCATTTTGCTTGGGAAACAAATTGTTTATTCTCATTAAATTTTTAAATTGCAAATTTTGTCAACAGTTGATGCTGCTGACTTGAATGACTATGACACAAGGTTTTCTGTTGCAATGTCTTAACTTTCCAATGAAAATAATTCTTCAGGTATCAATTATTTTTTGTCCTAAAATTGCATCACAATGTAATCTAAAATGGTGGTTATTTTGAAAACTAAATGGAAATAAGGTCCAAAACAGAAAATGCTGCATCAAGCATATTTAAAAATAAATCAGAATCTGAAATGCTGTTTATTTCTGTTATCAACTACTTAAAAATGAATTAAATATATAAAACAATACAAAAGTAATATCATAAATAGAATAAAGCAGGTCCTTGGAATAGCCTGACAATGCAGCAAATAGATTTTTATAGTTTTTTGAGTTAGCAGCATGAACCATTGATGATCTTTGTTCTTAAATTTGAAACTTAGTGAAAGAAAATCTCTGGTTTCCTAAATCGAACACAGTACTTTCCTAAAAAGTATCATTTCTAATTATTTTTTAAAAAGAAAATTCAATATTTTCATCAGTAAATTTTTATTTAAACTATGCGTTTTTTTTTTGGCTAAAAATTGTTTTAACATTATATGCAGGTATTTAACAAAGAATTATTCAACTTCATTTTAAAGAAATTAATCATTTTATAAGACAATAATCACAATATAAAAGAACATTTATTTCTGGCTTCTCTGTAATAATATTACTTAATTAATGGGTGGTAATAGTTAAAACAGGGTGCGCTGTACTTTTTTTCTTTGGATACAGTAACTGAATCTTGTGGGTTACTGTAATAACCGAATAAATATATAACCGAATCAAGGTTGACAAATTAGTTATTTATTTAAAAATCAGGCAACTATGCCTCTTCTTTAAAAAAATCAAAACCTAAATTATTCTAAGCAATATTGCCCTAAAATTTAACTGAATCAAATGATAGAATGCGAATATTTTATGAATGATAAAAAATTTATATTGTTACTCTTATGTTTCAAGAAAAACAAAATCATGAGTTTGAAAATATTGGCTTTAAGCAAAAATAAACTAGTGGAGACCTTCAAACCAGAAATTTTTTTTGTCAGGCATTTGTTTATGCCTTTTTCTTTATTAAAATAACCATAAAAGAAATAAATTAAAAAACAAAGAACTAATAAGACTATATTTAATTGTAATTATGCAAATACTTTACCAGTTGGTTTCCATTCTTCAGAAAGATCTTTATCACCAACTAATGCAGCATAATAATTAAAAGAGTCAATGAGATATGGCACATTATATTTTTCTCTTAAACGTCCATATTTAGTCAAACTGTCAATGGCATTTAGCAGTTTACTTTGCTGTTCAATGTATTCAGATACTCTGAAATCAGTTATTATATTAGTTACAAATTTGAAATAATATACACTTACAGATTGGGGGCAAATAAATCATGAAAATACACTATTTATCCAAGTCAATAAAATAGTAAATAACCATTTGTGTTAATATATTATTTTGACATTATCTCACAGAGATATCTAAGCCGACGCCACTTCAATTATCTATCCTCTTGAAATAAATTGAGGATCCATCACTGATAGAAACCAATACAATAGGCAAAAATATATAGTACAAGACAAACTACTCAGGCCAAAAGAGCCTTGAAAAGCAACGAAGCATTACTACGCTCCATTCGTGGTACTAGTAGTTGGTGTAGTCCTAGTTTTTGAGGAATTTTTCTGTTCCTAACATGACAATCAAAGACTCACACTCTTCAATTTCTTCATTTAAATTCTAAGTAAATAATATTCGAGTTGATTATTCTAAGATGCACTCCACCAACAGTATGTCTTTTCCTAAAATACACTATAAAGATTTTTTCAGATAATGAAAGGAATTTAAAGTTAATTAAATTTAAGACAGATTTTAAATTAACCACAGGTCGTTTAAATTACCAAGAGGTTGAGAGATTAAAACCCTGAGGTCGAGGGTACAATCCCCAGTGAAGACAGAAAGCATAAATTTTAGTTTCAATTTTGATAAAAAAAATTATAAAGATCTTTTTAAATTAAAATTTTTTATACAATTATAATTTATAACCTATGAAACATTTTAACTTTGCATAAATAGCTGTACTGTCGTATTTTTAATTTAATAAAAAATTCTATTCTAGTTTTTTTTTAGCTATAAAAAATTTAAAATTAAAGCTTTACAAAAATTTTTTGATTTAAAAAATTCTCATTTTTGGCAAAAATCTGTCCTAATCAATTAAAAGAAATATCAATTTTAAAACTTGTAATGATTACAAGTTTTAACTATTTAGCTAATTTTAACTATTTTTTAAGTTAAAAATGGAATCATTGAAATCGTATTCAGTTCTCTACATTTAAAATTAGTTTAATAGTATGAGCAAATTATGTTCATATAAATTCATATAGAACTAAAAATAATTTTTACTTATAAAAACATATATATGAAGTAAACTTTACTTTTACTTTGTTAATTTGTTTAGTATAGCAATAAAGTTAATATGCAAACTCTAAAATATTTTAGAATTTATTATTATTTTAAATAAAAGTAAAATTTGATGAAAATAAAGTCTTTTTCTTACTCTATAGAAACATTACTTCGGGGAAAAAATTTAGTAACAAGTATTACAATAATTTAAATTAGTAAAATATTCTTTTAAAATTTTAACAGTAACTTTCATTTGTTTATCACAGGGGAATGAAAGTACAATTTTGAATCAGCAAAAAACTAGATTAATTAGAAATAAATTCTATTCTATCTATACACACCGAGTCTTCTCAAAAAAGTTAGAAAAATTTAACATACTAGTCACATTAAAAGCTAGTTTTTTTATAGTAAGTGAAGAATAAAGAATCACCATTGAGGCAGTTAGTTTAAAAAATATCACAGCCTATTCAGATGTCAGATGAAATTATTAACAATAATAAATTATTTATTTATAATAAATTATTAATTAATAATAAATTATTTATTCATGATAAATTATTTATTAATAATAAATAATTTATTAATAATAAATCATATATTAACAATAAATTATATATTCATNTCGCTATACAGCTATCAGCAAACATTTTGGAAAACAATTTACTAATCTAATAATAAATTATATATTAATAATAAATTATATATTAATAATAAATTATTTATTTATAATAAATAGTAATTATAGTTTTAAATGTTACAGCTAAGTTTTTAAGTAGTTATATCTCTTGGTTTGAAGATTTGATAAAAGAGAGTAACTTCTTTTCCCTTCAAGGATTTATTTTATTACATCTAATTTGATAAGAAAAAAATATTAATATTTTGTTTTTATTCTTTTAATTAAAAAAGAGTAAAAATATTTTACTTCATATAAAAAGTAAGTTTTATTTACGATAGTCTTTGAAAGAAAAATGAGAAACCTGTATGTCCCATATATCTCACTAATTGATAACATCATTAGATGATTGTTGTTGTAGTTAATTTACGTCGCACTAGAGCTGCAGGATAGGCGATTGGCGACGGTCTGGGAAACACCCCTGAGGATGATCTAAAGACATGCCATCACAATTTTGATCCTTTGCAGAGGGGATGGTACCCCCGCTTCGGTAGCCTGACGACCTGCACACGAAGTCGAGCACTTTACGGTAGAACAGACATCATTAGATGTTATCATTTCAAACCAAAAGTGGTGTTTGTTTCTGTATTCCTCTTTGGGAATAAGTTTCTATCAGGATGGTAAACTACATCATCCCATAGGAATAATGCAAATAACTTGATGCCATTCACAATCTCAAAATTACGATGATTAATTGATTTATTCAACTCAAGGATGTAGTTCAGCCTTTCGCTTGAACATTTCCATACTAACGCAAACTCAGGATTAATAGTTTCGAGAAGTCGTTAAAACTCAGACAGATTTGGGCTTATAAAGAATATTATATTGAACATCCTATAAACTAAACAAAATACACTTAAGAAAACTATTTAGTTTAATTATGTATAAAATCTATTTCCTTAAACAGGGTTCCCACTCAATCTTTTAAAAAAGATTCAAGGACTTTTCAAGGACCTAAAATCAAATTTTTCAAGGATCTATTCGATATTATTGTTATACGCTATTGTTTGTTATTATTATTGTTATATATTATTGTTGTACATGTCAACCAGATTTTACAATTATGTAGAAGCAGAAATTGTATATTTTTAAATCATAATGCTTATTTGACAACAACAAAAAATTATTTATTAAATTTATCAGCTAATAATACGAATGGTTGATAGTTACATTGCTGTTTCAAATTACTTTAAAAAATTCCAATTAACCAAAAAAAAAAAAAAAAAACTCCAATTGACACAGGATACTAGCCAACATTTAAAACTAGCATCAGTGAAACTTTTCATGACAAATGAATTAGAATTAATGAAACTGAATGAATGAGTAATGCATATTACATTAAACAAGCATAGTAAATAATTGATAAAGTTTGTGTAATTGCACGATTTTTAAAATATAAATACTTTTTTTAATATGTTCGATCAAATTTTAGGTTACAGGAAATGTATATAATTAGATAAATTATCAAAATATATCTATTTAACATATCTGTTTCAATTTTAATATCAAATTTTCTATGTTCTTACTTAAGAATATCAGTAACGCATTTTGAACATAATAAAATCTATAGTAGAACAATATTTACAGATAACTAAGACTTACCAAGTTTTATTTTCTTGAAAATATATCCATAAAATTTGAAGCGTGATTTTTAAAATTTTGTGAATATGCGTAATTTTCACTAAGCGTAATTTTTAAATTGCATTTATATGAAACTAGATATACTATATGTAAATCAAAATTATGAGAAAGGTGAAGTAAGTCTCGAAGATTGTGTAAATCCCGTATCACAGTGATTTGTAAAATGAAATTGAATTGTGGTGGATGTTTCTTAAATCGAAACAATATGAATAGCAAATAATACAAAACACGCAAACTAACAAGATGCAAATCCCAATGTGTGATACATAAATCCCTTTAATGTGAATTCTGTTGCGTGNAGCTATAAAATATTTTTTTATCAAACTAAAAAAGAAGTCTATGTTTTTTTAAAAAAAAAAATTTTTTTTTTTGAAAGTATTTTAAAAAGAAAAACTTCTAAGTAAGATGATTCATTATTTAGAAGTATAACTTGTTTGAATTTTGAGGAAGCAATAAGCTGAGTAAAAAAATCTACTTTTTTCAATTTTAAGACATTTTTAAAATATAGAGAAATTAGAAGGATTTTTATTTAAACCAGAACAAACTAGCAAAATTCAGAAATTTGCCAGAAACTACAGGAGAGTTGGTAGCTACGGTTTTGTAATGAAGATAAAATAAATAACATTTTTATAAAAACAAATCTATAATAAATAACAAAAGGTAAGATTAGCAGAGTTTTACACCTATAAAGTACTTTAGACTTGGTTCCTGCCTCATATTGTCTCCATCTCTTGAATCCTTCCTGGGAATTTTCAACAACTGCTTCTAATTCATCAGATGAAGCCCATTTTACCGTAGCTGAAAGTCCTTTTGTGATTTCTATGTCAACAGTTTCTTCTTCAGAACTTGCAAGGGGCATCCATTTTCCATCAACAAATCCAGTAATACAGCCACATGTTTCAAGCCATTGCTACAAATATTAATATAAATATTGCACTTTCCAACATTTAAAAGTCAACATAACTTCTTTTCAGTAAAAATTGTAAAGGTTTTAAATAAAGTAAATGTCTTCAATTTTTTCAAAAGGTTTTACTGTTAAATATTATTATAAGTACAATAGTAATTTAGCACAAGTTTAAAAATATTTTATTCCAAATCATAGCTTTACAGAAAACTAATGACTTAATTAATGATTAATAAATAATTTTTGAAAAATATTTAATTAGGAGCAATTTTAAAAACAGCTCAGACTGAATTGGAAAATGAAAGTGTAAATACAGAGTAAAAAATAAAAAAACCAATAAAGGCCAAACTTTTAAATACAGCAGTTTTTTTTTTGTTGTTGTTGCTTAAATAAAAACCAGTTGGCAAGGACTTTTTTTTTAAAAAAAGAAAAAAGTTGTCTTTTTGAGTAATTCTAGCATAGTCTTGCATTGCTTGGGCACTGTGTGCCCTGGCCATATACTTCAGTAAAAATACATAAACAACAGGCCTATTCTTATTATTTATAACTTAAATTTTAAAGCGAAACTGACTAACTCACAGTTATTATTCCCATCTTGTTCACCCTGAATGAAATTTAGAAATATATCCTTACAATTGCAAGGTACCGTTACAACACGACACAAATTTGTACTTTACTGGCCAATACTAAATTTAAGCTAAATGTATAACAATACTATTTCATACATACAGATTTATATATATATGTTACATATGAGCATATACATATATAATGTATACACATACACACACAAATATCTGTACATATATATGTAGTGATTTGTGGAGCAAGAGATGAAAAAAGACAATAATTAATTTAAGAATTAAACTTGACAAATTTAATAAGGAAGGAGAATAAGTATAACAATGACATTGATAGCGGAGAGCTGCCTACATGCAGCATTGCAGGACAAAGACTGACGACTAAAATTAGATCGTTCTAAGGAAAGGAATAAGTCTATTAAGTATCCCGGGACTTTTCTCTTGTAGACAGTCTGGCACCTTTCAACACGGAAGTTGTTGGTTTTGAGGATGATAGATGATGCATTTCGCACAACTACTACCTATATATACATACATACAGAGCTAGAAAATATAACTAGTCCTTATCATAGACATTTTCAATTGTCTGTTTAAAGGCATCTATTAAGATTTTTTTTAAAGTTAATAAAGTGAATTAAATGAAAATTTACGACTCAAAAAATGTAAATTATGAAAAAAGCTATTTTGTAACAATAACACAGACCAATGCATGAAACTAAAAATCAAAAGAGCATACCATTCACTTACATCAATTGTGGATCTGTATAGGAGACTATTAATGTTTTTCGGTAATCTGAGAGAGATTTTAGTATTCTTAGACCGATTATCTCTAGTCATGTATCTGAGTATTACATGTATTTATATATTTTAAAGCCTATTATACAGAGGCATAGTTTAGAGGAGGGTTTGGGGGACAAACCCCCCTCCGAAATTAAACATTACTTGATTAATGAACCCTTGTACGGTAAATAGGATGTAGAAACGTTTTCATTATTCATTTTTTTGTAACTTAAACGTTTGAAATATACATCAGAATATACATATTAATAGGCGATAACCTCCCTCGAACGGGAATATTTCCGTATCGTGATCGTTTGCGCCAACTACAATCGGCAAGGTGCCAAATAGATTTTAAACTTGCAAATTTTTTAAAAAAAATATGTAAATGTTTGACCGGGGGTGGCTATACATTTCGAGATGGTCCCTTTCTGTGATGTTTTTCTTAGTTTCTCGAGGCCAAGATTATTCTGCCGCAGATCAGGATACAGAAATCTCCCTCACTATGTCACTGTATACATAAACTATGTCACTGTATACATATATATGTATCTAAGTCTTGCAATAACTTTGAGCTACAATGCAAAAAAAAAAATAATAAATAAATAAACTTTAATAAAGATGTTATGGTTTCTATTCTTTCAATCATTTTTTCCAATTATAATGCATAGTACGTGATATTTTTTAATGTTTAAAACAACATATTTATAATATAAGATTCTGTTATATAAAAATTAAGTACTTTAACTAAGAAAACACTCTTTTATATATATATTTAATGAGTCTGGTGAGTCTAAATTTTTCTTCCAACCATTAATTGTATATCTCTTAAGTCTTCTCGAATGAATTAATTGCTTCCTTGATCTAAATTTAGAGACAACAGCTTGGGACACAGTTAACACTTGGACATGTAATTCCAACTTTACTAATTGACATTTTAATGGGAAAAAATATGTAATCGACTTATGAACGATATAAGAAATACCACAAAAAAGTGTCCAACTAAATAAGATAGAAATCAAGGAAAATAACTTTAGCTAAATTGCTGTGAGAGGTGGAAACCGATGCTTCTTTCATTGTTTTGAATAAATCTGAAATAATAGCACTCTGCTCTTTTGATATACTAATACTCATGTTAACCAAAATTTAACTCTCATCAATCACTATTTTTAAAAATACTTAAATAATGAAAGTTCAAAATTAGTAAAGTAATATTTAGAATCAGTTTACAGTTCAAAGTGCGAAACTGCAAACATGCTTTCATTGTTTAGAAGCGATTCTTCATTTTAAGCGAATCAGCACAAGATAGCTTAGGGACCATTCTCACAAAAATGAAAATACGCTATATTTCGCATTTGCGCCGTGGTTCGCTCGCATTAACGTCATCAGAAGGACATTTTTAAAAAATTTACTTTCTGAAATTGATTTGAAACCAAGATAGTGTAAAAAAAAATTGTCGGATTTCTTAGAAACATTCAGAACGGGATACCTGCTAGTGTCGTACTGCGGGTATCTCGATCCTGATTGGTTGTTGAAATGTGGAATTTGTTTACGTTAGCAACTGTTTATTTCGAGTAAGCCATGCCCGTCAAGTACCAATTCTCTAAAGTGAAGAATTATATATTCTTTCAGAAAGATTTCAATCCTTTACAATGTATTTCTTCCTTAACAGAAAGACAGGCACGAAGTATGCACCGAAATTGCCAAGCACACAAAACATAAATATATCATGATTACAATAAATTACACAAACAAAATAAACCAAGATAAGTAAAAGGTGCAGACGAGAAAGAATTATAATGAGCAAATACGATGAGTGATACGGTGAGATATTTAATTAACTTTACGTTAATTAACATTCCAATTAATGTGGAGAAACTCGAGCTAATTAATTTGACTTTAACTCACCAGTTCATTTATAAACGATCAAATGGCGCTGATCATAGGTATGAGATCATAGGTATTAGTGATCGTCTTCTTCTCGGGTTGCAAGTACCCAATTGGGGAATTAAAAATTAACCGTGACTGTTAGACGCATACAGAGGGTAAGCAGTTGTATCAAAGGCCAGAAAATTTAATATCATATTTTTAAAGATTAAACAAATAAAAAGCTCAAGAGACTAAAATTCCGATACTTAGAAGTCACCAGAAAAATTAATGTGAGAGGCATAAAAAAATTTTCTCCAACTCGCAATTTTTCCCGAGGGTTGTTTCTCTAATTACAAAAAATCAACTTGACTAAAGCTGACCACCTTCTCAAGAGCAAAATAACTAGTAGTAAAATTTCTATAGAAATACTTTAAAATTAACTGATTTATCTTTCCAAATTAATGTCCCGCAGTGGACTGATCGTTAGGACACGGTTCCCGGCAGATCACCGAAGTCAAGCATCACTGGTTGCGGTCAGTGTGCGGGTGGGTGACCACTTGGACCAGTCTGCGTAGGGACCTAGGGTGTGCGGTATTGGTCCTCGTTAAGCTGTTCTACTGTAAAGTGCTCGACTTCGCGTGCAGGTCGTCGGGCTACCGAAACGGGTTGCCACGACCCCTTCTGCAAAGGATCAAAATTGTGATGGCATGTCTTCGGATCATCCTCAGGGATATTTCACAGACCGTCGCCAATAGCCCATTGTGCAGCTCTAGTGCGACGTAAATCAACAACAACAACAACTTTCTAAATTAATATTTTTAGAACAGAGATCCATTGCTAGGATTTTCCAATACAAAAATTTTTTTTAAAAAATCTGTAATAACTGCCACTAATTAATATATTTTTTAAAAATTCTTGCCAAGGAAAAAAAAAAAAAAAAAAAGTTAAGAAAAAGTTAAAGAAGAGAAGGAAGAAAAAGCCAAAAGTACGACACTATACAAACTATACCCAATCACTATTAAGGTCAGCAACAAACGGGAGATTAAAGTGTTCTATAGCCAGTTTGCTTACAAACAAAGCTTAAAGGGGATTTCTAGCAAAAAGCGAACGCATTCCAGTCCCACTAGACAAATGAACTAGTTTTTAAATATTTTAATGCCACATTTGCTCTTATTAACCATTAGTTTAATTACTTTTTTCTTCTTTCCAAACGTAAATATTACTTGCTGTATAGTATATTTTTTTTAAAAAAAATGTTACACTTTTTTAGAGAAATATTTTATTTTTTAACAAAATAAATTTTCCATGTTCACATTATTTGATAGCAAGTTATATTTGTCGATCATACTAGTAAATCATTATTATATACTTAAATTATGGATTGCTTTTTTATTAATAAAACTTAACAACTGAGTCAAATCTACTATTAACCAAACAAAAATAAACTTATCATTTACATTACATAACCTATAATAAATTTTGACATCAAGAAACGTTATAGTTGCCTTGGCGGCAAAAGATTACGAGGAATCATATTTAGGAATATAAAATAATTGGTATTTTAGTGTTGAGAAAAATTGTTTTTACTAATTTAGGATGTCTTCTTGTAGAAAAGAAGAACTATCATTAGTTCTGTACATACGATGTGCTAATTTTATGTTGTAAAGTTCGGTATTGTGATAATACAATACAACCCAACAATTATTTTTAAATGAAAGAATATTTTTCTCATACTCTGTTTATTACTTAAAATATCGTTTCTAACTTATGCAAATATTGTAGTTTATGTTTCAAATTCTTTTGAATTTTTTAAAACTATACCCAAAGTCAGAGAAAATTTTTAAACGTGACAACACATTTTATTTATATTTTAATTTAAAGCAAGCAAATATCTCTTTTCATAAATTGGCTTTGTCTGGACATAACCAGGACTACAAAGAGTAGCTGATATCTTCAACAATTTTTTACATTAAAGATTGCGTTACCCAAGGCCGTAGCCAGGATATTTTTTCGGGGGGGGGGACATGGTAAGAAGCAAGGACAGTTTCAGACATGCAAAGTAGGGGGAAAACATTGTAACAAATATTGTTTATTCTGTTGTTTGCAAAAGTTAAACTAGTAATTAAAAAATATTACATAATAATTATTTTTCAATTAATATTACATAATAATTATAATCAATTTTTAAACAAAGTTTAGAAAGACATGCGACGGGGATTTGAAGAAAATTTTTCGATTACTTTTTTAGGACAAACCGGAATATCCCGAAATATGCTTAATAAAGTTAGCCCTGTTAGCCTTTCTTCTTTAGTAGCATTTCTTGTTGCTGTTTTAACGCGTTTAAGAGTAGAAAAAGTTCTTTCTGCAGTTGCTTTGGTGATTGGCAACGTAGCCAATATTGATAACAAGCAATAAATGTTTGGGGAAAAGATACTGTCACATTCTTCCATTGCTAAAAGTGCCGTATCTGATCTACTAAGGGGTTCACGCAGGTTCCACTTTGATGCCCATACTTTCATTTCTCCCATGAGGTTTTCGTTGTCAATGAAATCTGCGTAGATTCGGAAATTGCATAAATTAATATGCTGAAAAACAATTGATTTCGGGGGAGAAGTCTAACCGAAGGAGAGATGAGCCACAATGTCAAGCGAAGATGATGCACTAGCGAAGGTGGTGTACTATGAAAAGGTTTGATTCGACAGTTTTTGTTTTTCTTTTTACTGGGAGGATCAAAGAAAGACTAAAATCTTTGAATCCCAGAATTTCGGGGGGGGGGATTTGTCCCGACGGTCTCCCCCCCTGGCTACGGGCCTGCCAACCTAACAGCAATAGAGTGCTTTTGTAACAGTCTAATTCATGGGCGCCATTGTTGAGGAGGACGGTGGATAAGTGAGTCTCAACCAATAATTCGAAATCCCTAAAATTCACCCCCAATGTTTCAGACATATAAAAAAAAAAAATTCACGATTCATCAATTCAAAAATTCCACGATTCAAAAATTTTCACGATTCAATAGTTAATTTTTTTGAAGATAATTAGCAGATATAAGATTTTTTATGTGCAAAATTCAAAGAACTATTATGACTGTCTGTGTAATATAATTTTGCTCCCCCCCCTCAAAAATTGGATACTTGCGACTCCCATTAGACTATTCTGGCATATCTATATAGCTCCATATATAACAGTTAAGTTACTGATCTACACTCGTGTCCACAAATTATGGATAATTCAGAATCGGATGGAAGTTGAACTCTAAACTAACAATTTTTCCCAGAATTATCCCACGCATCTTCAAGAATAATATGCAAATTATAGTAAGCCACCAGATGACACCGATAGTATGTAAAATGGCGAGAATGTAACAGAAGGGTGTAAAAGGAATGGTGGCTAAGAAGTAAAATTGTTCAGAAGCGTTATGAAGACGCTCATCGTCATTATTGAATCTGAATAGTTAAGATGCAGCGAACGCATGTGGATGATTTTTTACGTGGTAAAATTATTGGTCACCTGGAATGTGGACGTTCTCAGATGGAAATATCCAAGGAACTTAGAATCGCTTAAAGTGTCATCTCTAGGCTTTGGCAATGATTTCATGATGGAAATATCAGTAGACGTTCAGTTGCACACGAGTTACAACGCC